TTGCATGACATGGACAACTGCAAGATGTTGTATGTGGCTTCCTGCGCGGAAACTTCAGTGCTGTTTAGTGGACATTGCTGATGCTTCGCATTACTTCACGCAGCGTACTGTTCCCTTTGCGTAATTCCTTAACCATTTCTTCAATTGTTGTGCTAACCCTTCGGTCGGACTTATTGATGTATTCAATGATATAGGATGCGCACGGATATGGGTCGAGTACTTACTGCAGATCCATATTGGACCTCATCGTGGACAGTATTTTCGGCGAGTACGGGTTAATCAGTACGTTCGAAGAAATGCGACGTAGCAAAACTTTGCAACTTCGTAGTTCAACCCTTACTGCTAGCAAGTATTTTTCTTCTGTAGCCTCGCATCTTTCCAGAATCTCATCAAAAGTTGCGTTGTGCAGGTTTTCGTACTCGGTCAAAACACTATTTATTCGTTTTAGCACTCGTGCAAGACGCTCACGCTCTTGCTCGTCAATGTAATCCGGTAGTGGTCGCAGAATTCGGGTACTGCGCATTGGGTAAAACAGTATCTCAAACCTGCACTTCTCTGTCCTACGTTTGCCGCATGTAGCAGCATGCCTATGGTACTGAAATTCAAGATAATGCGAACTGCGACTGGGTCCCTGTTGATCCTGATGATCAATTTCACAGGAGCACGTAATGAATCTGTCGATGAAATTGCATACCTCACGTTCATTTTATCCAGAGACCGTGTCAAATACTGGTGCTTCGCCCGGCCAGAGAAGTTGGTGTATGTGAAGTGATCCTCGCTGCTGAAATTCCACTCTGTAATATGAATGCGCAATTGCTACCCCTTCGAATGGACCGCCAGGAAGATCCCACAGCTTCCTCTGTTCTTGCAGTAACTGAAGTATCGAGCACAGGCAACTGGATCCAACTGAATCAGCCTCGATTTTTCAGCATATGGTAATGCAAGTGCTTCTACTATATTAATGCTTTCGTGATCAACAACCCGTTTCAGAATTTGCAGAAGTTCGGGGCACTGTTTCTCTGCCGCTGAAAGAGTGAGGAAGAAATTTGGCAGTCCAAACTGCCTTACCATTGCCAACACCTTCTGCTTTTCATTGTGCCAATGTGTGTAGGAATTTTGGACACCTGCAAGAACACGATAAGCATCATCGTGCTGCACAAGCCCGTGGATGAAATCATTGTTGCTGAGATTGGCGGTGTTGATGTCATTGCGATTGCGGATTTTCTTTTTCCGCAAGCATAAAGACATGTTGCTAGACAGTCTCAGCAACTCAGTCTTCTTCGCCATGACGAGTAAGTAATCGCGGCGTTGTGCTACTCTTCGGTCGTACCGCATGGCAAATGATTTGGCGATATCCGAGTAAGACATGGGACGACCTGGAAAGACGGGTTGCAGTTTATTCCCACCAAAAATTGCTGGGAATGAAAGATATTCGGTATCTTCGTCGAGAACGATCGAAACAGGCCTAAGACCTTCGGCAGGAGCCATCCTTGTACCGCACTGAGCCTCCTCAGCTGAAAACATAGTTTCCTGTGCACCGGAGTTAAGAGGTTCAGCATCATCCTCTTCTTCATCTTTCTCCGGTTCAGTATTTGCATCTGCAGTTGGTTAGACGTGGCACTGCTGCAGCAACCAATTGTCCGAAAGGCCAATACTGTGAGATTGGTAAAGAGGTTGTGCCGCAAGATAAACAGCAGCTTGCCAGATGCAATTTGGTCTGACACTGCCGGTAATATAATTGCCTTTGTATTGCATTCGTCGTGCAATGTGAACACGCACGACATGCAGTGGGAAGACGAGGTAGCAGCGACACTGCCGTGTTAACGGAAACAGGCAAATTAATAATCCCTCCTTTACCGTGGTACTGCCCAGAAGGACCATGAGATGCCAGACTGTTTGGAAAATGTGGTGGACAGCCACTAGTCTTTCTTCCAGCCTTGCCAAAGTTTGCAGTCTCTGGTCCACAACAGGAAAATGCAACCCATTTGAAAGACAGCAGCGGGGCTGCTACCAGCATTTAATGCTGTGTGAACATGTTTTGCAGAAGTAACATTCCTCGGCTTGCTGCAGATAAAATACATTCTTTATGAGACTTCTCTGGGTTTCACTTGCACCGCAAGCTTGCAGCAGATGTGACATTTTGAGTGTTGTGACAGAACGTTTAAATTGTAATCTACCGCAGCAGTTGCAAGTGTTGGCCCTTCCTTGATTGCATTTTCGTATTCGTCAGCGCCCGATGGCTAAGTCGAGCTTCTTCGTTGCTGCCTTGCTTCCCGATCCCTAATGCGTTCTTGCACACGCATTTCCCTGACATCGATGCTGCATTCGCAAGGCATTCTCTTGACGCTCCATTTCCCTTTCATTAGTAGATGCACACTCCCTGCGCGTTCACATTGATTCTGAATTTATTTCCCTTTCGTTTTCTCTGTGCTGTAGGTCTGCTTCCTGGCGTTGTCGCATAGCTTCCGCATTTGCAGTTCTTTCTCTTTCCCGGCATTCGAAGTCTGCTGCGCGTCGTTGCTGCCGTGCCTCAGCATCCGCAAACCTTTCCAGTTCCCGATAATCCGTCTCGCTGCGTTATCGCATAGCTTCCATATTTGCAGTCCTTTCTCTTTCTCGGAATTCGATGTCTGTCGCTCGCCGCTGTTGCTTTGCCTCAGCATCTGCAACTCTTACCATTTCTCGATAGTCTGTTTCTCGACGCTGTCGCATCGCTTCAAAATTTGTAGTCCTCTCTGTTTCCCGGAATTAGATGTCTGCCGCTAGCCGTTGTTGCTTTGCCTCGGCATCTGCAACTCTTTCCATTTCTCGACAGTTTGTTTCTCGACGCTGTCGCATCGCTTCAGCATTTACATTTCTTTCCATTCCTTGGTGTTCAAAGTCCCTCTCTCTGCGTTGTCGCATTGCTTCAGCATTTGCGGTCCTTTCTCTTCCCCTATGTTCCAAGTCTGCCGCCCGTCGTTGCTGTTTGGCTTCAGCATCTGCAGTCCTTTCTCTTGCTTTGTAGCCTTCATCGGAAGCCCTGCTTTTTTTCACTACTTTCCTGTTCGCAGCATTTTCTCTCTGCTTGTAGTCGTGATCCTGGCGGAGCAACCGCATGCGCTGCACTGCTTTTTCCCGCTCTTCTCTGTAAGCAAGACTGCCTGGAACAATGGGAATCGCATTCACAGCGAATTCGGTACTGCTGCCTTCTTGCGCTGTGCTGGATCGGCTCATGTCTGAAAGAAGGCTTAAAAGTAGAATTTGGACAGGAAAATCAGTCCAAAAGAATTTAGAATTGGGATTATAATGCAAAAGTGCATTGCCAATCTCACATAATGATCAACAAATGTATTGTTCAGAGTGGTTTAAAAAACTGCGTCGCAGTTAAAGTTATTCAAATTTGGTGTAATTATGCTTTTTGGCATATATGCAAAAACGCATATCGTGACAACCATGGTATGCATGTGTGTGTATGTTCGTGCGTGTATGTGCATTTGTCTGCCCTGGTATTTCAACTCGGCACCGCGATGCCAGCCGTCACGCGCATTTAGCCCTACGTATGAACAAGTGAAAATAGGCTGGAAGGCTGAAATTTTAAGGGAATGTTCTCTAATCAAGTACCACTTAGTTACACAATCATCATCCTAAACTTCGAGAACCAGTACGCCGCAAATTCTAGCTACTGGGATTCTAAGCGAACGTGCTGCAGCACAATATACTGCAAAAACGCATGACTGCACGGACCAAACTGCTGCGCGTCATCGATGAATTTGAGTATTTGCATGGGACCGAAAAAAATGAAGTTCATTTTAATCAATAATTGATGGTATGAGTAAAGACATGCATACTGATGTGTTTAGAAACACTGCTCTTATTACAGTATATTAAGAAATAGCAATATTGCAGGGCTAAAATTCCTAAAGCTGTTTGCTGCAGTCCGCGACTTGTACCCGGTTCATCAGAAGCATCTCCCACAGAAGCTGCGGAAGCGGGACGGGATCGCTGCAGTCGGCGAGCGACAGCATCATGTGCTCTTTCAGCCTGGCGATAGGATTCAGACGATCGGTATCGGCGTTTCTGTTTAGCAGCAAGCTCGCGTTGTTTTTCCAGGCTGCTCTGACTTTCCGTCGCGCTGAACTTTCTTCGAGGCATTGCAGCTGTAATGCATACAATATGTTTTGTTGTATGTTAGGTTTGCTTACTTAAAGCAGAACCTAGGAAAGTATTAAAGCAGTACTTAGTGCCTTTGAATGGCGAAAAGAGTCCCCTTCTAAAGGGCGCGCAATCTTGGAAATTTGTGCATTTCCCACTGTTAACTGTGATCTACCTATATATTGCTCATACCCTATGTACTTTGCACATATTGCTTTTAGTGAACTGGGATTCGCTTACAGCAAAATTAGTTCGTATGGAAAGTGATTTGGTTACCGGCAAATATTGTATTTGCCATACTGTGTTCATAACTTCCTTAACCTTTGACAGCCTCCAGAAATGTATTAAACTGTGTCTGAGCTTTCTGGTATGCGCGGCCGGATGCTTCTGCCTTTCTTTGGCATGCTATATGGTGCATTTGAGCGTATCCGCATGCGTGTGTGTGTCTGTGTATCTGACACAATTTATCGCTCGTGTGTTGTTGGTGTTTAAAAGTCACTAAAATTTAGGCAACTTAACGAAGTGGAAGGGCTTCCACTAAAAAAAGCTTGATGTTTGGGCATCGCAGGCGCAAGAGAAGGGTAACTGATACAGATCTATTACATTATAAGCAAAGCATACTGTAAAGGTGTTGTAGTGAAGCAAGACAGGAAAAATTTACTGCACAAGTTACTGAATAATCTATTTTGATTACTGAACGATAAAAGCTTACCTAGTACTGATCGGTCCGGAAAAGCCAAGTATAGCAAATATAATAAGATAGGCTGTCGCCACAAGAAGTATTCGTTGTTCTCCAAGTAGTAAGAAGAAGTGCCTGTCGCCGAATTAGGGTGTTGTTATTGTCGAAGTTGATATCGGGCTGTCGAGGCAAAGGGATTTCGCTGTTGCCAAATTAGAAAAATGAAAATTGGCTGTCGCCGTGGAAGGGTGTTTCTTGTGGAGGTTGGTAGATAATTGGGTTGTCGCCGTAAGAGAGTTTTCTTGTTAAAGTAAGAGTTAAAAGACGCGACTGGCGCCGCAATTCGTCCTTGTTGAAATATTTGGTAACGCGACTGGCGCCGCAAGGGGAAGTGCTACTGGTGTCGCAATTCTTTCAGACGTGTAATTAGAACGCCGCTGTCGCGGTAGGGTAACACCGTCGAAGCAAGAAGTATAGACCAGACGGGGACGACACGCCGGAAATGCGATGCTCACAGAGAAAAAAAGGTCCCTAGAAAGTAGTGTCAATCTCGGCTCCCGGCTGCGCGAGTCGCTGTGCGGGATGCTACCAGCGACAATGGAGTGGAGAAATAATACTATGCACACGGCGCGGACCGATTTCGGCTTTGGCGGGGATTCTGAGTGGTTTTGGCGGGATGTCGCTTCTGGCCTTGGCGGGAAGGTTGGGTGGGAGGGTGGATCGCGCGACTACACCAACCGTGAGCGGAGTTTGAGCGACGCGCTTACCTTCGTCGCGCTCTCTTCCGGATTGCCTCGTCGCTGCGCCTACGCCGGTTACAGCAGCGGCAGCGTTGGGTTCGCCGCTGGGTGTGGATGAGGGCAAGGGCGATTAGGAGTGATTTGTGGGGGAGAGGGGGAAGGGAGGAGGAGGGGGTGATACAAGGGAGAGGAGGAGGGTAGAGTGCCTGCACGGGGTTTTCTTTGGTTGGAGGGGAGGGACAGTTCTGGCGTCCGAGTGCCACGAGGACTACATATGGCATGGTTGGCGGAGGCGCAACCTGGCTAGTTTGTGTTACGTAAAACAGAGAAATTGTTTCTACATTTGAAGAAACACATTTTCTTCCCTGCCCTCCTTCACCTCCAGAAATCTGTTGAACTCTGTCGGAGCCTAGTGGTACGTGCGGCCAGACACTCTTCCGTGGGGTCGTCCTATGTTTTTTGAATATGTTTTAAGGGGCGTATGTATGTGTAGGTGTGGTAAAAGTTTCTCGCTTCTATTATGTGTTTAAAAACCGTTAAAAAGTTAGGCAGACCAACGAAGTGGAAGAAGTAGGCATGCGTTCTGAAAAAGTTGATATTGAGGCGAAGCAACTGTAAGAGAAGTGAATAATTGAATCCCGTTATTCGATTTTAAAAAACGCTTCATTTCAGCTGGATAATTTTCAAAAATATTATTTGAATTCTGGGGCGCCAGTCCCGCGCTCATCTACTGCATGCTGTATTTGTCTTAAATGTGGGGCGCCAGTCCCGTTTTCAAGAACTATTACAGCTAACTGTCATACTGTCACACGCCATCCCAAGTGCAACAGGAAACTGCTTTCACCAACTGTGCAAATTGTGGAACACCTGCGCCGAATTCAGCTTCCTTTCATGGTTTGAATTTTAGGGCACCAGCCCCGTATCTGAAATCCGTTTATACAACACCTGTTGGTGCTTCATATGCTGGACAGTGGGCAGGCTTTCCGACGCCAGTCACTAACTCAGGTTACATTCGTCCAGCAATCGTAGCAGCAGTTAGCACCTACTTGGACGGGGAACATTCCCTTAAAATTCCAGCTTTCTAGCTTTTCTGGCTCGCGAGTTATCAACTTACCCGAAAAAACTTTTGGCAGGCTCTTACGCGGGTACCACGCGGGTAAGACCGCCCATTTCGGGGATGGGGGCCCGTACTTGCATGTAAATTATGTCCCTAAACCTTCAGCCCTGTAGCTTTTGCCGGTCTCGAGATGAAAAATCGGTACAGACGAACACACAGACACATACACACAGACAACCCCTCGTCAATATGCGTTTTTTGCACTGCATTGCTGCAAAAAAACGCATAACGAGAGCGAATGGTCAGAACACGGCCACCTGGCATTGCGGCAGACCTCAAATGTCTCCTTAAATGCGAGTCTAGTGCTCATTCACTCTACTTCAACTAGCTAACCGTAATCCCATGACTCTGAGTTTACAGACCACCTTTCCCTGAATGTATGACGGTAGCCTAACACTAGATCTCAGTTCACAGGTGTCAAGTTATAGCAAATTTGGAAGCCAAAATTTACTTATCTCCTACCATGATTGAACTCCAGAAATTTTTACTGTAATTCCCTCCACTCTCGAAATATTACACCTGTCTGAAATTCGCCTTGAAGATATAAGCGTACGGAAAGCAGGCTAAATTGCTAGCCGAATTTGACGTCTCGGTACACCGATAAAGTATTCAAGGTTTCTGTCCCCAGCTTTCATAGTTCTAAAGTTAGAATATCATCTAGCGCACAATCCAAACAGCGGCAGAGGCCGACATGACCTTATATTTATGCATAAAAAATAGCAACGCGCACCAGACTAGCCGGTGCGATCATGCGTTTTGTGCAATTCAGTCCATCGAACG